GTGTGTGTGAGAACATATGTGTTATGAGAATGTGTGTTTATGTATGAGCGTGTGTGAGAACACGTGTGTGTGTGTGTGTGTGTGTGTGTGTGTGTGTGTATAACTCCTCTATGCCAATAACAATCACACTACTAACCCTAGAGATGGGTGGGTTCTGAGCACTAACCAGGCCCAGAAGAAGCACGCGAAAGACACTCCCTCTCACTCTTAAGCAGGACTATGCAAGGCCTTGGTGAGGGGCTGAAGAGATGGCTCAGCAGTTAGGAGCATTTGTTGCTCTTGTAGAGGACCCGGGTCAACTCCCAGAACTCACAGCGTGGCTCACAATGGTCTATAACTCTAATTCCAAAGCATCCAGCACACTCTTCTGGCTTCTGCAAGTATTGGGCATACACACAGTGGGCATATTTACACGTGGGCAAAATACTGATACAAATAAAAATAAAATAAATCTTAAAAATTAAAAAAAGGGAAAAGAAACAGATACCATCATGCACCCGGTATTGCTCCTGTTCACAGTGGGGTAACCCCAGAGCCATGGTGAGGAGGCCAATGGGAAACCCCCGCCGCTAAGTGATACATGTGTTGGTATGAACTCATTGAAAACAAGTTGGCACTTTCTGATCACATGCCAGACACATTCACAAAGTTTGTGATTTAGCCATTTTACTCTGAAGCATTGCCCAAACGGCAATCCTGGCATGTGTACTGAGATTCGTATATGAGACAGATCTAATAGGGCTCAGGGTATATAACTCAAGATGTGTATAACTCAAGGCTTGAGTGTGATTCTCAACGCCTGAAGAAAATCAAATCTTCCTAACAGCCAAACACTGGAAACAACTCAAAGACCAAGAAACAGTAACAACGTTGACTAAGTTGGCATCCATACGTATCTGCACTGGGTAGTGTTTGTCAACTCGACACAGGCTAGAGTCACCCTGGAGGAGGGACCTCAGCTGGGGAAACACTGCTATCAGATCACCTATAGCCACGTTTGCGGGCTTTTCCTTGATTCGCTACACATGTGGGAGGACCCAGGCCACTGTGGTCAGTGCCACCTCTGGACCCTGGGCTACAGAGGTGGGAAAGCTGAGCAAGCCATGGGGAGCCAGCCAGTAAGCAGTGTTCCTTCATGGTCTCTGCTTCAGTCTCTGCCTCCAGGTCCCTGGCCTGACTTTTCTTCATGACTGACTATTTGGCTTATAGGTCTAAACAACAGACATTTTGTCTCCTAGTCCTAAAGGCTAAATGTCCAATTGAAGGCGTCAAGGGAATTGGTTCCTTCTGAGCTGAGAGAGGACCTGCTCCAGGCCTCTCTCCCTGGCCTGAGGTATCTGTCTTCCCAGGTCACCTCTGGGTGGGTTTCTATGGTATAGCTCTCTTGCTTATTAAGAATTTTAGCAAATCGAATCAAGCCCACCCCTACTGCAGTGTGACTGTGGTCTCACTAATTATACCTGATGACCCCCTTTCTCAGAAGGCCACAATCTGAACTAGTAGAGATGAGACTCCATCTTGGGAATCTGGAAGCCAAATAGGCATACTTTAATCCATAACAGCATCATTCAGAATTTCTTTGGAAAGCAGGTGGAGTGGGAAGTACCTGAGATTCTCTGTGGATAAACCGTGGAGACTTTGACAGCTCTTATATTGAGAAGGGCTCTAAGAGTGACATCTGAGCTGCAGGTGGACACTGAATTCATAATCCGCATCTGCTGCAAATAGTCTCTTTTTAAAAAAAAACATTTATTTTATTTATGTGGTTGTATGTCTATGTAAGTATATGTTCACATATGTGAGCATGTGCTCATGTCTATGTGTGTGTGTGTGTGTGTGTGTGTGTGTGTGTGTGTGTGTGCAAGCCAAAAGAAGGCACAGATCCCCTAGAGCCGGAATCAAAGAAATTTGGGGGTGTCTACCTTGTCACGTGGATGCTGGGATCAACCCCAGTCTTTCTTCTTGGTTGTGCAGCAAACACTCTTAACTGACTAGCCGTCTCTCCGTCCCCTGCAAGCATTGATGTGGGAGAATTGTCTGTGTTCTGTCAATCATATTTTAATAAAATGCTGATTGGCCAGGCAGGCAGTATAGGCGGGAAAACCAGACAGGAAGTAGAGGTGATGCAATGAGAACAGGAGAATTCTGGGAAGCAGAGAAGTTCCTCAGCCACTCCTGCACAGATCACTGAAGAGGCAACATGTAACTTGCCCAGCTGAGAAAGGTACGGAGCCATGTGCTAACATAGATAATGATAATGGATTAATGTAAGTTACAAGGACTAATAAGGAGCCTGATCTGATGGGCCAATCAGTTTATAACCTTATGGAGTCCTGTGTGTGATTTCTCTTTGGGATTTGCCGGTTGTTGGGGTACCGGGCGGGACGGAAACCCCAACAAGCCGGCCCTCATGCTACAAAGCATTAAAGTCATCGCAGGCTGGTGATGCCTTGAGTTCAATCCAATCCCCAGGACCTGCATGGTGGAAGGAGAGAACCAGCTCCTGAAAATTGTCTACACACACACACATACACACACACACACACACACACACACACACACACACACACAATTTATTATTTGTCTATCTCTCTATCTAGCTGTCTATCTAAAACAATTTAAGTGATCACTGTGGACACAGGATTCAGAAGGCAACATGGAGCCCACCTACCCCCTCCAGGTCAAAGGGGGTCCTGCATGTCAGGCTAAGCGGGCTCATTTCTGCTCCTCTTTACTGCCTCAGGCTGAGGCCATCTACCATCTGGCTGGGGCTGTCCCTGGGGCCTATGGTTCTGTCACCCACTTATCACCCTAAATGGAGCTCTTTTGGAGCCTTGGCAAGCTCTTGGAGAGCAGGAAGAGGCCTCAAAGAGAATCTGATCTCTTTATCTCCACCCACAGAGGCCAGGGCTGGGGCTGGGACACATGCCTCTTTTCCTCTGACAGACCTGCAGTGTCCCTGGACAAAACCAGGGCCTCCTGCACTGGAAATGGCCCCGAGACAAGGAGGGACCTGGCTCTGCTTCCCCTTGCTGGGACTGTCCCCTCGAAAGATAAGCAGTCATCTGTGGCCAGAGGTCTAGGAGCAGAGCCACATGGCTCCCAGCGAGGGTTTCTCATTTCCCTTCTGGCAGATATTGGTCGGGACACTGCAGATGCTCTTGTCTCTACCAGTCACTCCAAGCTTGGATTCCATCCTGGCCAGGTCCCAGAGGCACGGATTGCTTTCCCTCGGTGGAAAAAGTTGTTCTTTGTGTGTCTGCAGCTGGTCCTGTTGCTGGACTCCTGAATGAGGGTAGCTCTGGAAGAGTAAGGTGGGAAGGACAGGGGATGCCTGCCCTGGAGAGGGGCTGCAGGTGGGGCTGAGGATGTGCTTTGAGATCGACAGAGTGGTGTTCAGTGTGGCCATGGAGATTATCCCTGTTCTGGAGACTGACGCCTCCATCCCCTCCATCTGTTGCTCCTCTCTGCTCCTCCCCTTCCTTCCTTAGCCATCTGGGCCAGATTGGCTCTGTTTGTCCACCAGGTACATAACCTTCCACTTGCATCCTGCTACAACCTGGCTCAGAACTTCCCATGGCTCTCTCTCTCTCTCAAAGCAAGACATCTCATACTGGGGTGGGCTCAGATTTGTCTTCAAGAGAGATCACAGCCCATCCTCCATACAGAGCCAGTGACTGAACCACTGAGGGAGAGCCCAAAGACTTGCCCCTCCACGCAGGATCCTTTTATTTGTATTTACTTTGTAATTGCAGTATTTTATACTCAATGTAAACATAGCCGCCTTCACTTACTGTGTACCGAATGTCGGTATCCCCACAAAATTCATAAGGCGAAGTTCCAAATGGAACTTCCAAGTACAGTGGTGCATGGAGGTGGGGTGAATGGACGGTGATTAAGTTTAGACGAGGCGTCTCCATGATTGATTATTGTCTCCATAGAAAGAGTGTGTCTGAAGCAGGAGTCTTAAGTTGTTTTCCGGCTTGACAAACCTCTCCGCCAACGCAATAATCCAAATCAGATCAAATTAGAAGAAGCCCAGGTTTAATGGATGCCAGCACTCTCAGGTGGCCCCTTGGGAAAACACAAATAGGGAAAAGGGGAAGCCACTTGTTCGTTCTCTAGGGGGCAGTTTAAATAGCCTATGGGAGTAGTCTTGACCTTCCCTGGGGAAGGGTCACCATTTGGCAGGCTTTCTTGGAGGTGGAGTCTGGATTGTGGTCACTCCCAGACTCTTTGTATATATGGATGCCAGGGGGCTGGGATGATGCTTCCAACCAAACAATGAGGATCACCGCAAGTTCAAGGCCAGGCTGGCTTATACAGTACATACCAGGCTAGTTAAAGCGAAATAGCAAGAGTCTATCCAAAAACCAAGATGACACCAAGCTGCCTTTTAAACAGTCATGTTTATACTCACAGCTCAGAGCTGTCTTGGCCTGAGCATCTGTCTGCAGTAGCAAATAGTTAACACAGACCAGTAACTGATCAAAGTGTTAAGACTAAGTGACTGTGGAGTGGTCATCCCTAAACAGACCATCTATGTCCATCCCCAAAGGTCAGGGAACACTGCAGAAGAGGGATCAGAAAGAATGAAAGTGGTGGGGAATGGGAGGGTGCTGTGAAATGCTTCTTTGGATGTGTGTTGTACCCAGGGACTCCCAGTACAAGGTCTGCACAAGGTCGAGCCTTTTGACTGATGTGGGATGTCCTTCTGTCTATGTGTTGCTTTTATTGGTTGATGAATAAAGCTGTTTGGGCCAATGGCTTAGCAGAGTAAATCCAGGTGGGAAATCAGGACAGAGATAGAGAGAGAGTAGGCGGAGTCAAAGAGATGCCGTGTAGTTACTGATGGAGAAAGATGTCAGAACAGAACCTTACCTGGTAAGTCACAGCCTCATGGCGATACACAGATTAATAGAAATGGCTATTAATTTAAGATGTAAGAATTAGTTAATAAGAAACCTGAGCTAATAGGCCAAACGGTATTATAATTAAGTTCCTGTGTGATTATTCAGGTCTGAGTGGCCGGGAAATGAAATGTAGCCTCTGCCTAGAGTTGACAATCCAACACAGATCGAGCAGAAGCATGCAAAACCCCATTCCTCCCGGAAGGACATCGTTGATGTTGGCAGTTAATGGTTGCAGAGGAAGGAGGGACATGCCATTTTCTTAAGTTGCCCCATGACCTGTATATAACCTCACAGCCATTCTCATGAAAGAAGGGGTTCAGCAAGAGTAGGAGGATAATAAAGACAGATAATGGGGGCAGAAATAATTAAAATACATAATATACATTTGTGAAATTGTCAAAAATATAAAAGGTAAATTCATTGACCGAAAAAAGAGTCAGAGGGTGTAGTGGCTCATTCCTATCATCCCAGACTGCTGTGAGCTCTAGGCTAGCCTTGGCTACCTAATGAGCTCTAGGCTAGCTTATAGTGATGATGCTTGAGTGACCCTTACCCTTGACCACTGTGAATAATGCTGCATCAGAATGGTTGTGTAAAGATCTCAAGTTCCCACTGAAATGGTCTGGATGTGGGGAGGAAGGAGTTTATTGGAAAAGTTATTTGTGCCGTGGACAAAGAGGCAACGGCATGGTATGGGCTTCAAGAGAGTTCAGACCCCAGCAGCGAAGACAGACATCATGGTGGAGTCTTTAAAGAGTGGAATCAGAACCCCATGTGGCAGAAATGGGCTGAGAGCTAGGGACCCTGAGGCAGTGTCTGATAGATGTCTGCTGATAGAGATGGAAGCGGAGAATTGCTACGAAGCATTGGGCTTGAGAAGCAGCTAGAGGCTGGGTTCTAACAGGATGTTTCACACAGAGCTTCAGTTTCTTCCAGCCTATGCCCGGGAGCTGAACTGCTGGGTCGCGTGGCACCGCTGTGTTTATTCTTTGAGGCAAAGCCACGTGGCAGCTGTCAGTGCCACAGCGACTCTGCCTTCTCCACTGGTGCCCCAACAAGCTACCCTGAGTGTTCCACTTCTCCCCTCCCCTCTCTCTCTTTCTAGTGAACTCAGAATCACTCTGGCTATGAGCGCCAGCAGCCTGAGATGAAGTTCCTCTTGAGACAGGTTCTCAGTGTGGCCCAGGAACTCAGGATGCCCCTGCTTCTGCCTCCTGAATGCTGCTGGCATTATGGGTGGGCACCACCACACTGCTTTTCGTGCTAAGTAAAAATTATCCTGTGGGTGTGGGGCGGTGATTTTGATTTGTTTTCCTAATGATAAGTTGTTAAGCATCTTGTCCTGTCCTTACCGACCATTTGCTTATCTTTGGAGAGCGACCTCTTTACATTCTTTGTTCATTCTTAAACCCGGGTTTGCTGGTTTTTTTCGGTTGCGCCCAGGAGTGACTTCTGTTGCTGTTATTGGTTGCTGTTGTTGAGGCACCACCTTGCAATGTAACCCAGGTTGGCCTTGAACCTCACCCACCAGTGATTTTGCTGGCAGGCGATGTGAGAATCCACTGGAGAGGAGAATGAGGTCCTCCTGGGGGGATGCCCTGACCCTCTTTCCTTCTCAGTTCAAGTTTTTCTCCACATGTATTTGTTAAGTTGGAAGCGTTGACCCCAGCCCCTCGCATCCAGTCTAGCTCCCAGGCCTCAGAGTTGTATTGGTTTGGACTCCAAATCCCAGCATGCAGGGTATTTAAGTGAGTTCGCAAAAGAGGAACACGTGGTCTCTTCCCCCCACCCCTTGGTGGTCGCATTAGCAGCCTCCTGTTTTCCCCTGGGGCCACCCAATTGCGCAGGATTCCCATTAAACCTGGATGTATTTAATTTGGCTTGTTGTGATTTGGCTTGATTGGGATTTTTGCATTGGCAGAGAGCTCACATTAGGAGCAATTCCTAACAGTATTGAGGGAGGCGTAGCAGCGTGGATGCCAAGGTGCGCATATGTGGAGGTCAAAGGACAATTTACAGGAGTCTGTTCTCTCCTTCCACCATGCGGATTCTGGGGTTCAAACTCAGGCCCTCAAGCTTGGCCGCAAATTCCTTCATCCCCTGAGCCATCTCCACAAGTCCTGCTCTAGGTTTTTTTTGTATAGCCTGGACTAAAGCAGTAGTCAGACTCTCGGTCTCCAGAAATAAATCCGCTGGGACTCTGATCTCCTAGTGCCTTGAGGACACGTGACACAGGCTTGCCCAGAGCTCATTAGTCTATCGCGTGGAGCCAGTGATTAGCTCAAGGAGGGGCCGAGTCTCTGAGGGTGCAAACTCCTCAGACCTCGACAAACGCCTCAGCTTAGTTGATCTGCTGGCATGACGTGAACATGGGCTACTGGTAGTCTCTGCCATAATAGCAAAGTCCATCTACAGAAAGAAATGCCGCCACCTGGATGGAAGGCAAGTCAAGAGGAAGTGCTGGCCGGCACTTGTGTCTCTGGATCCAGCCATACCTGAAAGCAGACACCCCTGGGGTACAAGCTAAGAGTGCTTGTTCCTCTCTTTCCTTTCGTCCTCTCTTTCCCTCCTCATCCTCTTTTCGAGCACTGATTTAAACCAGTTTCTGTCCGGGCAGCAGAGAACAAGTGACTAACACATATCTTCCTCCTTAGCTCTCTGTCCCCACGTGGTCATCTTCCTTTCCTTCCACTTCTAACCCCACTCCACTACAATTGCCCTCTTCTCTCTCACCTCCCACTTGAAGAATGGCTCCTTCTAGGGACCCAGAAGGCAGAGCAAGGTGGGGGATGCTGGGGAGACTGTTTTTCACGTGACCTCATTTCCACAGCTCCTTCTGCTTTGGACCTCACTCTACCTGAACCTTGAATGATGGGGGGACTTTAGGAGACTGGGTATCTTTTGCCAGTTGGCATGAGCTGGCGAGGGGAACATCCAGCAGCCCCTTTCCTGCCCAGGCCTGCCAGGGCAGCCCCACCTCTCCCTCCAGGCTGCTGAAGCAGAGGCTGAGCAGGCAGAGGAATGAATACATGATCCCCATGGGGTTTCCTGGGGAGAGTGGGAAAAGGTGAATAGCCAGGGACAATTGATCTGGTGTCTTGGTATTTTGGTGTGGCTTTTTTTCTTTTGCAGCTGGGTTCTCCCTGGAGGGTTTCACACCCGGCTCAGGAAGAGGAAGCCGCCTCCAGGTGTCATAGAGGGTCAAATAGTCCCTTGGGAGGCCCTGGTGTGGGTGAGTCAGTCTTGGGTCAGGATGTGGGGTGTGGGGGGGGCTGTATCTTTCAAGAGAACTAACATCTTGGGCCATTGGCACTACTTTCAGTGTGGCCAATGGGAGGCAGCGGTAGGTGTTGGAGTCTTCCTCAGCGACTACAAGGTGAGTCCTTGTGAGATGTTCAGAGTGTAGGCACAGTGGCTCAGTTTGGAGGTGAGGATGGTGCATCCAAAGCCCCTGAGTCCCGCCCTGCAGCAGCCCAGGCTGGCCTCGGATGTAATATGTTCCTGGCTCTGCCTCCTGAGCCCTGGCATTGCATGCCCAAGTCACCAGGGCTGCAGAGTCCCTCATGATCCCACAGCCTTCACGGCTGAGATTGAGGCCTTTGCTAAAGAACTGGGGAGTGGGATGGGGCATGCTTTCCAGGCCTGGCTTTATTAGAGCTTGCTTTGCTTGCTCTTTGTCAATGCTAAGACTTCACTTTTTAAAATCTGATAGTAGGCTGGAGAGATGGCTAGTGAGCAGGACCTGAGTTCGGATCCCAGCACCTGAGTAAAGATCCTGATGTGACTGTGCTTTGTGGGGACAGAGACAGGCAGATTGCAGGGGCTTGTTGGTCATAATATAGATGCTGGGAATCCAAGTACCCAGTCCTCTTAACTCCTGAGTCATCACATTAAGTGTGTAAATGAGAACAAGACAGAGAGTGATAGAGCAGGGGACACACATACACACACATACCACACACCACACATACACACACAAAAACCACACATACACACACACAAACCACACTCACACAAATATATACACACAAACCACACACCACACATACACAAAACACACCCACACAAATATATACACACACAAACCATATACCACACACATACACACACAAACAACACACATACACACAAAACACACTCACACAAATATATACACACAAACAACAGACCACACACATACACACACAAACCACACTCACAAATACACACACACAAACCACATACCACACACATACACACACAAACCACATACCACACACATACACACAAACCGCACACCACAATACACATACACAATACAAACTACAAACCACACATACACACACGAACCATCACACACACAAACTACACACCACACACACACACATACAAATACAAACACACACCACCACTGCCACCGCTACCGCTACCACCACCCCATGGTTGTTCAGGTCACAGAGATGACTCAGCAGTTAAGAGCACTGGGTTCTTGGGTTCCCAGCTTATATATGGTAGCTCATAACCACCTGTACTCCATTTCTAGGGGGAAATGACACCCTCTTCTGGCCTACAAGGGTTGTGCACACGTGGTACACATACATACACGCAGGCAAACTCTCATACATATAAAGTTAAAACTAAATCTTTAAAACTGTGTGTTGTGTGTGTGTGTGTGAGAGAGAGAGAGACAGAGACAGAGAGAGAGATGGAAAGAGACAGAGAGAGACGGAGAGAGAGACACACAGAGAGAGAAAGAGAGAGCGAGAGAGAGAGAGAGAGAGAATATCTATGTGTGTGAGCGTGTGCATGAAGCCAGAAGAGGACATCAAGTGCCCTGCTGTATTACTTCCCCTTGATTCCTTGAGATAGGGTCTCTTACTAAACCAGGATCTAGGTTGACAGCCAGAAACCCAGCCATTCTCCTGTACCCACACCCTCCACAGTGCTGGGGTTACAGGTGTTCACAGCCATGGCCAACTTTTTATGTGGCTGCTGGGATCTCAAACTCCTACCTAAAGACTATCTCTGCATAAGCCCTGTCACCTACATATTTTAGAGCTTCTGGGACATGGTAGGGAGGGTGACCATTTGTCTATCCTCCCTCCTCTCCAAACTTCCTTTCTTCTTTCTCCCTTGTTTCCCCTCCCTCCCTCGCTCCCTCCTTCCTTTCTCCTCCCATTTTTGGGCATGCTGTCATTTTCAGGGTGAGCCTAGGTACTCCGACGATGAATCCGTCGGTGGAAACAATTAAGTACTTCGTCCCCCTTCCGTTTTAATTATTTCTTTAAGCTCTGCTTTCAGGACTGATCAAGACGTTAAAGGAGACGGACACTTGTGTAGTGCTTGGTAAAGGTAGTTGGCAAATTTCTTTCTCAAGAGCCAATTTGAAGAATGCAAAAATAAAGTTTTTGTGCTGCTTTAAGATGGAGCAGGGCAGCAGAAGTCGCCAGGAAGTCTCTCCAGCTTTTGGAAGGCTCCAGCGTCAGTGTTTCTGGAAGGTTCTAATCAGCAGCTCTATTTTTGTGGGTGGCTGGGGCGGCAGGAAGGCCCTGTGGCCGGGTGGTTGATAAGGTTATCTGGGGACTGTTTCTGGCAGTTCGAGTGCCTGTTGTACAACTTGGGGCTGGGGAAGTCAGAGCGCTTGCAGGGCGGGGAGGGGGGCAGTAGGAACTTGGCTAGCTCAGAGCTTGCCTTTTAACAAAAGGAACAGAACTGAAGGTTGTCACTCGCTGTCCGGAAGCCCCTCATCTCCACCATCCCAAGGCCCCTGCTTTAGCCTATTGGGTAAAGGTAGAGATGGATGTAGGTAGGCCCAGGGGCTGTCCTGAGATGTTGGGAACCTCTGTGCAGTCTGTCTGGGCTCACCAAGAGCCAGTAGGGAGAGGAGAGCTGGGTCCAGCCTGGACATAGCATAGAACGAAGGAGAGATTGCAATGGAGTCAGAGCCCAGTCTGCAGACAGACAGGGCAGGCACCCCACCTACCACACAATGGCCTTCTGGGCAGAGAAGGCTCAGGGAAGGGAGCAAGCATCCCCACAACAGCTAGTCCTCAGACCCACATATGGCTTCAGGTAGAGGCGCAGGCTGGTGTGAAATTCACCCAGAGGAAGTCCACAGCCTCCCGCCCAGGACCTGACCAGGGTTTGTTTTGCTTCCTCCGGGGTGGGAGGCTGCGTGGAAACCAGAACTGAGAAGAGCCTGCAGCTGACCCCTCAAAACAGAGAGACACAGTAGAAACCACTTCCAGGGAGGGTAGAGCTGGGGTGTCAGAGAGCAGGTTTGGGGGCTTCTCAAGTGGGAAGATTCAGGATGCCTTCCCAGGCTTGTCTCCAAACCACGCAACTTCACATTGGCACCGATAGTTACACAATAAAATAGCAGCTGCTAATCCTTAGACAGCACGTCTGAGCTACTGAGCTACGTGAGAGTCGAGGCTACCCTCGTCACGTCCTTTCTTACAGAGGGGAAATCCAAAGTACACAGCGAGGTTGAAAGCTGGTCCCAAGTCACACTATTAGTGAGAACTGGCAGTCACGCTGTGACAACCTAGCTCCAGAGTCCAAGGGTTACACCACCATGTCACACAGCCTCTCAGTGTTGCGAAGTGATGGATGCCTGTGGGTGCCACTTGAAGGAATTCACGGATGCTCAAGAAGCTGGAGGTGGAGCAGGACCTCCAAAGCCAATAGACCCAGATCACACTGGAGCCAAGTGACTCTGGCCAACTGCTTTATCTCTTTAATAAAAGTCACTCTGCCTGTCTCATGAAAGTGTAGCGCCGGCACAAGGATTACAGAGGTCCCTCATATTGAAGAACAGTGGCTGGTGGCCTCTCTGGTCACCTAGGCCGCGGAGGGCACATATGAGCTCCCCTCCCTAGTTATCACCTCTCTCTCATGCCCTCAGGAAGTCCTGGAAGGGTCCTGAATGCAGGGACAGCATCTCCCAAAAGTTGTGATTCAGTTTCTCCTGCCGTATGGAAGGTGAGCACGGCTTGGTGAGAGTGATGCTCTCAGGCCCTCTGCTGCCCCCGGGGCTCTCAGGCTGAGCTGCCTGGAGCCCTGTTCTCAACTCTATAATGTCGTCAGAAGACCTTGGGGGTCCTGATCAAGTATAGCAGTCTGTTTGTCCTCCCGATCCCAGGAAGGTCTGAAACCACGGATGGTCAGGAGCCTATGCGCATGCCACTGTTTCTTCTTGTACCTATAATAATAATACCTATAATAAAGGTTAATTTCAAAGTCAGGCACAGGCAGAGATGAGCAGCAATGATTACTAATAAAATAGAAAAGGTAAACAATATGAACAATATGCTTTAATGGAAGTTATTTGAAAAATATTTTGGAATCTTCATATGTGTGTGTGTGTATACACATTTAATTATAATTGACCATGGGTAACATTGAAGAAGGAACTGCTGTATTTAGTTTCCCCTGGGGACTACCTCTGAATTCCAGAGGGCCTGGGAACACACCATCTTTGGGGCATCCCTGTTTTACGGAAACCCAACCTACCTGGCCAAAGCAAGAGTCTCATCTTTATTGACATCATGCAAATTCAATGCTGACTTCAATTTCAGTTTGATGTTTTAGCCCCACCTAAGTAGGTGGGGGAGAATTTCAGGTGTCTGACCTTTTGTGCTGTGACTATCAATGACGATGGGTTTTTCCTACTTTAGATAATGGTGAGTCTAGAATTTGCTTGCTAAGGTGATCTTTCTCCTTGACTGCCCTTATCCAGGAAAAGGAATGTGGGACCAGTGAGAGGGTGCGGTGGGTTAAGGTGCTTGCAGTCAAGCCTGATGATCTCGGTTCCATCCTCAGACCTCACGTAGTAGAGAGACACTCATTCTGAGAGTTGCCCTCTGACTCCCACAATGCACTGTGTAGTATGTGTGCACACAACCACTAGCCTACTCCAAATAAATGAAAATTAAAAAATAACGATAAAGGAATTTCCCATCTCCCCACGTCCTCTCTGTTCCCATAGGCCTATGTGGCCCTCTCTCAGCACTCCCTACCTTGGTACTTTGAGAATTCACCATGCTTGCCCTTTCTAGGAAGGTCCTCACTCTGCCCCTCCTTCCCACAACTCTCCTCTCTTCCCTAACTCTCCTCAACTTGCTGGCTCCCTCAGGCTGGCTGACATCACCCCTTCATATCACACGCTGGAAAGATGGCTCCTCCATCACCGTCATCACATCTCCTCTCCCAGCAGGAAAAGGGAGGAGAGAGGCAAAGGAACAAAGACTCTTTTTTCCAGCCAAGTGCTGAGCCTTGCTTGTAAGCAAAGAGTCTCTTCCTCGGAGCCTTTCACCTGTATTTCATTGGCTGGGCAAGGGTCAGTTTCTCTAGTAGAGAAATGAGAATTGGAGATAAGCATGCTTTATGCCCTTCCCGGCAAGGCTCTGTCAGAATGAAAGGAAAAGGTTCTGGATAGCTGCCTGCAGTCTGCCATACAGTCCACCCCCTTGCGAGATGAGTGCTCGGGCTAATTCTGCCACGCCAGGCAGACTATATGGCAGACCCCGCCCCCAGAGACATCCTGAGGTCCTAGATATGTAGAGGCCAGCTGTGTGCTCCGACATCCTTGGTCACAGGTAAAAAATGCAGTGTCAACCTCCACTTCGGAGGAGAGGAGAGGAAGAGAGCACTGTGCCTGCGGCTGAAGGATCCGTGCAGCCACTGCCACGTGAAGTTGGTTCTGCCCACCGAGAGTTCCTCCTTGGTGCCCCCCCCCACTCCGCTTTCTGTTCCTCTCATGCAGGAGGTGGAACTCTGTGTGGCTCTTTGCCTTCCGCTGAGCTATGCCCCTAGAACTGCCTGTGTATTATTTTCTGTGGTCACCTATGAAGAGCCAGGCCTTCTTTGGGGGCCACACAGCTTCCTGTGGGTGTGAGTTTGGGATCATTTGGGGTCGTGGTGAAAGACTCCCTAGGGCGTCTTCTTTCGGGAGAGGCCCCATGCCCCAAAGATCAGTCGAAAACACGCAGCCGGATGCAAGCAGCAAGAGGTTTATTGAGGATGCACGGGTACCCGGGGCGACCAAGTCTCTTGAAGGACTTGCGCGCCCCAGGTTGGGGGTGAGGGGTTTTTATAGGAGAGCAAAAAGCGAGATTTACAGAAGCGAGATGCAGGGTGGTAAATTTTTAACCTGGTTAACAATGAGGGGAATACTCAGCGGTTTATTGTTTCTCTTATCCTGCCTCCCCCTCTCCCGGCTGGCGACCCGATGTCTGATTTGTACAGCCCCTGACTTGTGAGCCCTGCTTTCTACGTGACTCAGGCCTCGCAATCTTCCCTTTCTTTGTTCCTATGACCAATCTATAAATCTCCTGTCTCGCAGCCAGATAAGGCTGTCTTTGCTCAGGTGTCTTTGCCCAGCATTCCGGAGAGGTCCTGAGCTCCGGGGGCCTCTAATTAAGCTTGCTATCTGAAAACCTTTGCAGAACGGCATAATTGTGGTTAAGGCGAGTTGGGGTCCTTCAGTGGAGGTCACTCCAAGTATTGGCCGACCTAGTTTGGAAACGCATTCATAAAAGACGTGTTTGGGTTTGCTTTTTCTTTTTTACGCTTTGAGAGTGACCGACCACAGGTAGATTTTTCCAGGCCAAGCCTCACAAGCAAGATGCTCTTCCTTTCCTCCTGTCACTAGGTCTGTCCCAACCAGGCTTGGTTCTTGAGTGGAGCAATGGCTGCTGTGTGTGTCAAGCTGAGTAAACAGGGCGAGTGCTTACTAGATGGAATTTTTGAAAAAAGTAAGCGCAGCAGACTCCAAAACGAGTCTCAAGGTCCCAAATCAAACTTCAACTCTACCTAGCCAGGTAATAGCAGCACACGCATGGGGGTCGGGGGAGTCTCTGTGAGTTCGAGGCCAGCCTGATCTACAGAGTGCGTTCCGAAACCCTGTTTCGAAAAACCACAAAACAAAACACCTTCTACACTACAGAATCATACAGAGGGGACACCTGTCACTGGGCATGGGCTGCCTGGAGCTTGCATTTCCCTCCATTGGCCCTGCTGCCAGCACCAGGTCCCTGGGTGTTTGGAGGTTAACATTGGGCTAGGTCTGCTCCCTGGAGCCTTGTCCTGCAGAAGCATCTCATGAGGATAAATCAGATTGGTAGAGCCGGGTCACATGCCTGTGTCCTGTCTGAAAAGGAAGCTGGGAAGGAAGTGTTCTCAGTTCTGTTCTAGGGACCCGGGACTCTTCAAGCCGAGAGATACTCCCAGCAACAGTAGAGTGTTCTAAAGTAGTCACCAAGCAGCTGCTGAGACCTTCTACCCCTCCTGGATAAAGTCACAGGTGGACAGAGAGACCCTGAGAGTTAGGGGCCTATTGCTCTGAGCTTCAGAAGCAAAGGGATTGGAAAGTTCATGCTCTGCGCTTTAACCATTAGCACCCAGCTATTGTTGTCCTCAGTTTCCAGTGAGGGTGAGTGACAGCGGTGGGCGGTGTCAACGAGTATTACAGCAAGAAGCTGTGGCTGGAGTCTAGTTTCCTCAAGACATCCAAGGAGCGTTCAAAGCGGTTGAACTAACGTAAGGGAAATCTGGCTGGCTGCTTGGCTGATGGTTCTACATTAAGGCAGCTGGGATACCAGGAAAGGGTCCAACAGCTGTCAGTGATGGAAGTAAAATCGTCCTGGTCCCCAGCAGCTTATTTAAAGGAAAAGTAAGCATGAAAAATGATACTTACAGTAAAGGTCCAGAGTTAGCACAAAGTCCTCTAGCAGTGCTGAGCAATGCTTTACTACCAGCCGAATCCCCTGGGGGAGAGATGGGTCATTTTGTCTATCCCGAACGCAGGGACATGCAGAAAGCCTGACAGTTGCCCCCACATGCTGCCCCTGCTTTCCTGCTTCTCTTTTGCTCTTTGCTCTAGTCCTGTCTGTCTTCTGTCCCACAGGCACAGTGGGACTGCTCTGGTCAGACACTAGTAGTAACTAGCAGATGCCAAGTCCCTGGCAGGTCTTTGTGCCGCTGAGCACTTGGAGATGTGTGCCCTGTTGGCCCTCTTGAAGCTCTTCCCAGGCCTTCTCTGTTGATGCTTTATTCCCCCCAGTTATCTTCCTACTCTCATGGAGATAGCTCCTCTGCCTTCTTAGCTTGTTCTTTCCCCTCCCACTCTTAAACTGGAAGCGTCCCTGCACCTAGGCGATTCCATAGTGTTGTGTTGGTTAGTTTTATGTCAACCAGACACAAGCTAGAGTCATTTGGGAAGAGGAAAGGTCTCCATAAGATTGGCATATAGATGGGGCTGGAGAGATGGCTCAGAGGTTAAGAGTTAAAACTGCTCTTCCAGAGGTCCTGAGTTCAATTCCCAGCAACCACATGGTGGCTCACAACTATCTGTAATGAGGTCTGATGCCCTCTTCTGGCCTGTTGGCATACATAGAGGCTGAATACTGTGTACATAATAAATAAATAAATAAATAAATAAATAAATAAATAAATAAATATATTTTTTTAAAAAATTGGCATATAGACAGAGAAACCCTGTCTCAAAAAACAAAAACAAAAACAAAACAACAACAACAAAAAAGATTGGCACATAGGCAAGTCTATCAAGCACTCTCTTGGTTAATTATTCTAACCCACTGGGAACAGTGACACCCCTGGGCAGGTGGTCCCGAGTTGTATAAGAAAGCAGCTGAGCAAGCCAGTAAACAGCATTCCTCTGTGGCTTCTGCTTCAGTCCCCGATATCTGGTTCCTGCCCAGAATTCCTGCCCGGACTCTCCTTCACGATGGACTACAACTGTAACGGAGAGAAACTCTTCTCCAAGTTGTATTTTTGCTCATTGTGTTTATCACAGCAATAGAAAAGTCTCTAGGACTCGCGGCTAGCTAGCTCCAGGCAGCTCTCTTCTCTACGTTCCTGATGTGCTTAGACCACTTGACAACAGCATCTGGTCATTTCCCCAGTCTCTAATTGTGGAAATCTGCCTTCTTCCTTGTATTTTATTTTTTGTGCACATATACTTACATGTGTACTTTTGTGTGGGAGTCAGAGGTCAGTGTTGGTGTCTCCCCCAGTTACTCTTCACATTGTTTTCCGAGGCAGGGTCTCACTGAACCTCTGATTGTGCTGGACTAGGGCCAGCAAGCCCCAGCCCTTGCCAATACTGAGATTACAAATGTGCACACCATGCCCATGTACATTAGGACTGGGGTTAACTAAGGGCCTTATGCTTCTGTGGCAAACTCTCTACTGATTGAGTCCTTTCCTCAACTCTCTACATCTCTCTTTTCAGTGTGTCCACCCACACTCTGTGCACCACA